AGGCGGTGATAGGGTGGACCTCGACTTCAGATCACCTGGTCTGCCAGGAAGCTGGTCTTATGTTTCTCTCCTGCCACGACTTTGATGATATTATCTTGCTAAGAGGCAATGCCCAAGGTGATCCTACCAGGTCTCAATCCTTGTTTTCTTCTGTGGGGCTCCAAATCTCCCCTTTACGCCACCCTAGGCTCTCCAGATGGCACTCGTAGTTTTCTGCAGCCAGATCTTAATGCTGCCTTTTGGTCTACTGTTCTGCCCTCAGCCATCAGGGTAACCATCGGCTTTAGTTAGGCGCACAACCTTCCAGGGGCTGGCCCGGGCCTGTACCCAAATATGAAAAAGAAAGCAAAACCCAACTGCTCTCAGTCTCTTTGTCACAATCAGTCAATGTCCCCTTCACTTGGGGTCAGGCTCTCATGTCCAAATCGCAATACAGAAAAACCCAGTTAATCCAGTCACTGCTCTGCACAGGCCTGCCCCGGCTTACTTGTGAACATTCACTGTCCCAGTGGGATTTCTCCCAAGTGCAGCGAGGCTCTAACCTGAAAACAGCAATTCTTCAGGCCTCTCTCCCAGATCCTCAATGTCACTGCACTCCAGGGATTATCAGAAGTCTTGTGTGGGCAGACCTCCGCCTGCTTCCTTCTCTGGGTGACACCCACAGCATTTCTCCGGCAGGGTTAGCAACATTTGCCTGCCAGGATGCTCAGACGCTCCTCTCTCTCCGGCTCGCAAGGAATCAACCCACTTCTGCCCCTCTCCAGGACTGGAAATACCACTGAGCAGTTTCCTTCCTCCAATCTGGAGCAAGATGCTGCTCTGGAAGTGTAGTGATTGCTCCTCTTCTCTTCCAGTCTCCAGCTGCAGCCCCACCGGTCATCCATGCTGTAAGTGCTGCTTGCTTTCACTTTCCGTTCGTCTCTGCCAGCTGCTTTTCTTCTCCCGACCTCCCTTGTCCAGCACATGAGGCACCTCAGGGCTTTTGTTTTCCCTCTCTCACTCCTTCACAGAGAGGTAAAGGGAAGGTTGAAGACCCACGAAGAAACCCAGGTACGAGATCCCATGGACCCCCTACCACGAACCGTCTCCAGAGAGAAAGAGCTAAGGCATGGCAGGTGAGAAGGAGCAGCACTCAGATCACATAAGTGGTGCTAAATTGGGATCCCACCCTGATGTTGCTGGGGACAAGACACCTGTCACAAGGGGGCCTAAGCTCTACAACACCTACCAGCAACACTCTTCTTGAAGATACCACTGAATTAGGAGCAAATGGGGAGAAAATATTTAGCAAAATGAAGTCTATAAATCCAGCAACAATCTATGCACATATAAAAAACAAAGATATTTTTAGGTGATATGTTTTACTGGACTAACTATAGAACTGAGAGAGATTTTAGACAAACTTTTAGGTACAAGGTACCCTTATTTCTTGGACCATCATGGCTGCACCATCATTCCAACACCACTATGCAGATAGAGACCTGCACACGTGCAGCTCAAATCAGGAGAAGACTGTTGGAAGATTGTGAAAAAATGTTTGAAAATAATTTAATTTCCTCCTCAGCACTGCTTCACCTTCATAAAGGGCTGCCAATGGGAGCAGGCAAAACTGGCAATTTTCCTATTTCAAATGCAAGCCATCTCTAGATACTGTATCTTTTGCCCAAGTGCCCCAAAGTAATTTGCTTTTAAGTGTCCTTAAAAAGAAAAGTATTCATGACATGGACCATTTAAAAATATATTTACTAACAGGCTGTTTCTCACATAAAAGTCTCAACACTTATGTATGGGAGAATATATGCATGATTAAACCATTTAACCATACACTGCTGGTTGCCTCTAACTTTGTTCCTTTTTATGGCCTTTCATAAGAAAGTAGGGTTTTTTTTTTAATATTTATAAAGTATCAATAAAATACACCAAAATGTATACCTATTTTGTACTTTAGGATGAATGCATATCATTAGTATTTTTTTTATCTAGTCCCTAAATATGCTAGGCTTTTTTTTTTTTTTTTCCACATACCATATCGAGTGCTTTTTCAAGCATCCTAAGGTCTTACCTCAGGAAAACCAAGCAGAGATTTTGTAAAGTCAGAAGATCCTATGCATATTTATGGATTGCTAGAATACCTCTACATGAAGTGGATTTTGGTTTGATAAAACACAACATGGTGATAAGTAATTTAGATATGATAAGAAAGAAGGAAAAGAATAATTATCTCAACAATATCGGTCACCTTTAACATATTAGGAATATCTGTGACTTTCCTTGGATACAATTTCAGAGGTATTTCAGATGCTATTGTTAACCTGGTTGGTTAAACATTCCATACAGATGTTCGGAGAAGTTAGGGGGAGGCTAGATGGAATTAGAAATGGCCACCCAATCTAACCTAATTCACCCACATGCAGACCTAACACTTAGATCCACCTAACTAGGGATCTACATGCAAACTATACAGTAGTTCAGGAAGGTTAGATTGGTCTAAAATTGGCCAACTTAATCTTAGTTCACTGTAGCTCAGAAGCAACCTAATTTACTACTGGAAACCCCAATAGCCCCCCTGATCCTGCCAAACCCTCTTGAACTCCTTGTATTTGATACTATAATACCTTGTTACAAAATTACCACAATAGGAAATTAAAGGATAACAACAGGATAAGCAAAGGTGAAATTTTTGGCAATAAAAAATTCAATGGGAGTTTTACTATTAGCTTCAAATGGGAAGAGATTTTTTCCTGTAGATTCTCTTTCCATTTCTGCCGTTAACTCTGGAGTAAAACAAATCACAAATAATATAATGCATTTTCCATAATAAAATAAGCGTGCTTTTTTTGCTAGTTTCCTTCATAAGATTACTTGCCTCCTAAACCACTTCGTTATGTTTCACTTTTCTCCTTGAATAATCCTTCTTAAGGTCTTGTTAATGGAATATGTTTATCCTCTTTTCATATTGAAGATGTCCTTACTTTTAAATTTTCTCCGGCATTTTTATACAATTTCATTCCTGTCTTCAATAATTAATTAAAACTACTTCTTCTGCATAATTTTTTTTAAATGAGAAAAAAAGTTTCTCTTACTCCTTAAACTTTCTTGATTGTAAGAAAAAAAAAACCCCACAACATCTCATATCAACCAACTTCTAAGTTGACCAAATAATTTGTAAATTTATCAGCACTTACATAAAATTGGTCCTACCATATCATCTGTTCTATACAATACAATAGCAGTAATGAACTCTTTAAACTTGTGTATATTTTTTCATTAAAATGCATCCCAACAACAACATTGGAGCTAATTCTGATAAACTATTATATTTGCAAATATTCAACAAACGCACCTACCAACTAGCAATAGTTACCATCTATGAGACTTGGCCCAGCTGTCTGTGTTATGAATTTATGTTCCATATTGTCATATCCTAACCAGCTTATTAATACAATACTTTTTAATTTACTGTGCACATGGCATTTATACCTGGCTGCATATAACAAAAGTAAAACTGGTAAAACGTTATAGAACTGGCAAAAATGTGTCTATTAAACATTAGCATACCAGTGCTGCCATTGCCCAACCAGTCTTGTTGTAGATGAACTCCAAATTATTTCTTCGCAAATACAGCAAACCACCAACAAGCGACACTAAAAGAGCCAGTGCAATAGTACCTGAATAATTCGGAGGCCTGAATACCCTAATCTGCAGGATTTAAGAGAGAAACAGACAGACAGACAAGGAACCATGAGAAATATAATATGCAAGATTACACATACAAAGACAGTGTTAAAAATTGTTTTTACAGGACACAATACATAGTATTCTTTATGTTAAGGATGTCCTCATATAAAAACGATCTATGAAAGAGAATATTGTTAATGCCTTTTACACATCATAAGATTTGATGTTAATATCTGAAAGGGATCTTTTGCATGTGAAAGGGATCCTTAAAAATCCGCCATTGGATGGAATTTTAGAAAGGTTTACATTTCATCTTTAAAAATTTTGAACTATATAAAAGGCTAGAAAAAAATCAGGTTTCTTCAAAATATTTGCATATTGTTAGGTCAGTGCTCTTGTTTAGCATTAATACACACCTTTAAACCTAACACTTTTGTAATTAGCATTATAAACATGCACTCTATTTTTTCAATTATGGTAACTGTCACAATATCATTATTCATTTTCTTCTAGAATAAGACAGGATAGGAATATAAACACGAAAGTCAGAATGAAACACAGCATTAAAACTAGAAGTTCCAACTATCACATTATTTATTGTTTTATTACCGTATAGATTTCATGCGAGGAAAAATAGTATTACGGGAAAAAGAGCTCATCACAAAATACAAAGATAAATTTAGATCTGTCTTTTAACTTTGTCAAGTGACTTACATGAACATCCGTTCTGTCAGCTATCCACTTAGCTAGCTGCTCTGCTGCAAATCCGATTCTCTGCAGGTCGAAGGTGTCAGCTCTCTTGGGTTTACCTTTTGGAGGAAAATGCATGAATGTTGGAGCAGAGTTCATGTTGAGCTATAAAAAAAACAGAGAAAATAGAACAAAATATTACATAAAAAACTTGCTTTAGCTTCTTTGTATCATGCAACATACATAGGCAAGATGCTGTTAAGTCACTCTCCAGAGCTCTAAGTTACTTTTTCTTAAAGTTCAATATGTTATCTATTAGTGAAAAAGTGCTAGGCACTAGTATTCCTTCCCATTTCTTCACTCAGGCTTCATAAGACAATTCAATAAACCCTACTGTAAGCTTCAAGACTTGTGCTGTCAAATATTTAGCAAAGTCACGTTCTTTTAAAAAGATGTTGAATAAAGCAAACACAAATGTACATGTGTTGACGTGAATGGGACTATTCATGATGCACAGTGTTCATCACACATGAAGAACTGCAGAGGATCATGGTCTTCAATACTGGTGGAAGGTGGGGAGGGGGAAGAAACAGCAAACAGCAAATATTCAACAGTTCTTGGACATTTCTTTAAAAAAAATCCTCAGCAACATGGTGACTGAATGCCATTTACATTACTCATTTAAACGGGCGGGGCTGGAACAGAGTAATATATTTTTCCTATAGGGAATTTCTCAAAAACTTTGGATTTCAGAAACGGATCGAAATGTATACATAAGTATATGTATGTGTGTATAAAGTGATTTTAAATTAAATGTAAAAATACTGTAGGTGATATAATCTAAATTAATTGAAATCCTTAAGTGAAAAAGTACAGAACCATTTTGATTACTTGGACTTGACTGCTTTTCCCCAGTACAATAAATTTACTATATTACTGAAATAGATTATTTAAACATGAAGAACTTGGTTAAATTTATAACATTTAAAATAAGCTATTAAATAGGCTTTTCTAGTAAGTAAAAGATAAATCCTCCTTTTAGTTAGCTACTGTTGAAATATAATTCTCAGAATATTTGGATTAAGAGGAATGCTGTGAAATCATTTAATAGAACATGATATTAAGATATAAATTCTGTCAGAGGTACTTTTAAATAGCTATAGTCAAGTTTCATGGGATTTACAATTGATTTATCTATTCTATGCAAACACAATGAAAGCTAAAGTCAAATGACATACTTTTATATCAAATCTGACCAACATACAGCAATAGCTGCAATCACATAGCTATAATAGTATAGGCTGCTGTCAAGACTTAAAATCACTTATGCTATTATAATTACTTCAGATTCCTATTGCCACAATATATTTTTCCTACAGAAATTTTTGATAACTTGATGCAAAAAAGTGAAATCATTGGTTAGTTCTGAAAATTACAAAAACTGTCTGGAATCCTCAAAGACAACGTACAAACTCACTGTAAACACAATCATGTCCAAGATCACTGGAGGGGATGCAGGGGCGTTTTTTGGTTTGGTTTTGTTTTTTTATTTTTATTGTGGTAATACACTGAACCAAACATGTCTGCTTTACATAAATTACTATGGAAAAGGCACTACTTTGAGGTTTTTTGTGTGAAAGGAAATAGGGTAAACATGCATGAGATTCATTTGCACTAAAAATAACAACCAAGTGTTTATTTGTACGCAACACAGTCCAACAAGGCAGTTATTTGAACACAGTTAAGTTGTTTTTTTTTCTGTTACCATTTAAAATTTCACAATTTACAAGGAGGGAGTAAAAACTGTTAAAAAGAACATGCAGATGTAATTAATTTATCTTCTAGTTCCAAACAGAAGGCTACATAGCAAAGAACATGCAGTATTTTGATAACTGCAAGTACAGTCTCAGTTCAGCTTGAAGGCTAGGGGCAGAAATTACACATAAATCAGCATATGTGATCAGAAGCTGGTTCAAATCTACAACATGACAGAAGCTCAGTGCACATACACTGCTTTCAAAATGGCTGAAACTGGTTTAAGATGAACCTGGATGGATGCAGTATCAGACAACTGATTTAGCTTAAAACCAGTTTACTGAACTTCTGTCCCAGATCCCCACCCAGACTCAAGTTAACCCAGAGTCCCCCAGCATCCCAGGATTCTTTGCACCTATCCCTGCAGGGTAAGCAGGCTAGCTTTGGCCCAAGCTGCCTGCTCAAGCCAAGCAGGAACGCATGCTCTAATACAAGCCCCTGGCTTCTGGCCTGGCTCACTGCAGGTATGTGGTTGCATTTCTGGACTCAAAAGTGAATGCCTGTTAACTTGCTTATTGGTTCAATGTATGCAGCTTAGTCTAACCTGCAAAGATTGAAATGATTCAGCCTCGGCTTTTTGACTGTTTGTCGAACTGAGCAGCCAAGTCAAAGGAAACTTCAAGATGTTAACCCATTCTATACCTTATTTCCAAAAGCAATTGCATGCAAATTTAGAATAATTTCTACTCTTTTCTCTATAGAGTTAAACAAATACAAAGATTAAAAAAATGCATTAGACCTAATTAAAAGTATTTATGGAAGGTGATACTTATTAAGTGCTGGTTTTCTCAAAATAACATATGGAAAAGTTTAACTGCAAACACTATTTTCACTAACCTCCAAAAAAATAACCTAGGCATTTGTTTTTACACTATCCAAAGATATAGACAACTAATATGTTAACAATGAGTTGACTGAATGTATGTTCTATTTTGATCTACATAAAGTTTAATATGCTAGATTACAGAGAAAAAAACGGCCCTTTGAATTTGTTTTTGTTGGCTGTTACTGCTAGCAAAGACATATACATAAAAGCTCCTGTAACTTTATTATTACTATTATTATTATTGAGACTGTAATTTTTTTTTTATAACATCCCCCAAAAATTGGAAAATACAGCATTCTATGTTTTTTACCTGTTGAAAAACATCTGCTCCTTCATCATAATCCACAATAGTGAAGAATAATTTGTTAGAAAAGGCAGATGAATAGCGCCATGAATTGGCCAAAACTTGATACTCCTCATTAGCTTGCCTGTTAGAGAAAAAGACACAGATATGCATCTGTATAAAATTCATTACCAGCAAAGATTCTATAACCATTTTAAGCCAATTGTAGATTAACCAAAAGGTTAATAAACACTCTCAGTTCTCATGCCATTATGTTTTATTTTTGTTTTTATTCACTTTCTATTACAAGCATTCATAATTCTGCAGTAATTTTAACACCAAAAACAGCAATAAATTGCTAAAGAAAAAGGACTCCAAAGGACTCCAAAGTTTTTAATATGAAAAGCTTTACAAAATACAAGTTGAATACTCCTCAGGTTTATGCTGGAAAATGCTGAGCCAAAAATACAAATGGATTTATGTAAAGAGACCCTTGTGGACACATACAGTCCAATTTAATATATATTAAAAAACAAGCCTAAAGAAGTAGATATTCAAACCAGCAGAATATTAGAGAATTATCAATGCAATATTATTTTCCCTACAGAAGATGCACAGAGCGAGGTCTGACAATACTTGGCTGAAAACGACTGTACCACAGAAATAGTGGCAATGACAAATGTAGAGACAATGTTGTCTATCATCTCTCTGTTCAACATCTTTTCCTACAAAAATGTATAAAAACTATCATGGATAGATATATAGTTTCTTCAGAATTGATATTGAATAGGCATTCCTAGCATAATTAGAAAACCACGTTGCTTCCAATCCAAACTGTAAAGAAGAGCCAGAGGGAAAAATAATGCAGCTGGAGGCTACATTAACTTTTGCACTGCTTCTCCTCCTTGTGTTTAGAATATCACTTCTGGGAACCATTATTAGTAGAGAGCTCAAAATGTACAGCCCTGAAACAACACAGATGTAAAGACAGAACACCTGTAATGTAAAACAGGAGGCAAATCCTGCTCTCTCCATCTCAAGAAAGAATTAGACACTATCACATACTACTTCCTGCACAGGGTGTACCAATGGAAGCACTGTGAATGGGAAAACATGACAACATAAATAAAAAATAAAATGATCATCCCTTCAAGTTACTCTTACTACAAAACACAGTTAAAACCAAACTTTCACCTTAGCTGACCAATTAAAAGTAATTTTATTTTCCTTAAGTAAACAACATTTACAAATACAGAAGTATGTAGCATAAACATTCACCTAGTTATTTTTAGAGTTTGGTATTTCATGCTGAAATGAGCTAACATTCATTGGCATCCTGAAGAGGGCAGTCAAGCAACATCAAATGAATGCTGCAAAGGTTTAAGTAATATCTGTACGGGACCATTCTGTTAAACCTGCTATATTAAAACTTCACCATTTTTGTTATGAGAACAAGATGATGGTATCAGGATGAAGTGATATTATCATTCTTTTTATTCTACCCTTTTATTTTTTGTTAGACAATATTTATATAAAATCACAAATTCTGGTTACGCCTGAGATAATCAAGAAAAGATTTCTGATTCTTTTCATGTACTTTGCATCTTTAAATTAAACCACCCTCCAATTAATTTAATGGATATCTGCCTTTCCAGAAAGGAACGAGGTTTCTGAGTTCACTCTTTTTTAATCCTGCTTACATTTTCTGCAACAGATAGTAGATTTGGAATACAATTCAAAAAAATTACTGAAGATAATTTAGCAAAGTATCCTGTGAAATCTTTGTAGCAGCTTTTATAGTTTGTCTTTTCCATACCTTTTATAAACAGAAAAAAATTATAAGCTTCTGTGTTAAATGCAAATATTTGCACTAAGATTGAACCTCTCTCTTAATTCAAGAGAGGAGGTGGTTGAAAAACTATATCTGTTTCTCTTTTGAAAGGAATTTTCCTACCTCACTTATTAATGAGAACAGTCACCTCAGGTTTGAGTTCTTTTAGCTCTGCATGCATCTCAAATCAGACAATTCAGTATCATCCTCCTCATTCCTGAAGAAAGTAAGCTTTATAGTAAGCAGATATGAAATCTAAACTATTTTAGAAAATATGAAAAATAGTTTTAACGATAATGCATCCTCATGCCCATTTCTGCTTATCATGTAGATACGGATTTTACTCATGATTTCTTGCAGTCTTTCCAGCATTAATGGATGTGTACATTTTACTGAAAAGAACGGCCACAAAAAATCAAGGTTGCAACAAGCTTCTGGCAATGGTATTAGCCAAAGAACTGAAAGCCAAAATATAAAGGGAAGGAGATAGCAAATGAGCAAATGACAAACAACAACAACACTGAGAACAAGTATATAAATGGGCTTTGCAAAACTGATAAATATGTATGAACTACTTGCTGGTCAGGTTTAATCGTATGTATTATACTAGCACCCAGAGGCCCAATCAGAATCAAAACCTCACTACACAAAGAACTGAATAAACATATACTATAAGACAGGTCTTTGCCTCAAGAGTTTATAATCCAAACCCACAATGCTGTCAAGTCTTGCTTGCATCAATAACTTTATGAATTGTACGCAATGCCATCAACTTCAATGGAACTACTCATTGTACACCAAGTTAGTCATAGAAGCAAGTCTATAGGATTGGAGCCTAAAGATACAAATGAGTATAACATTTGAAGGGGCTGGCGAACTAGGAATGATAGGAGTGCACTGTTTTATAGCCAAGTTATATACACTACTAGAGAGTAGCATATCATTCAGTTTTCCTTAAAGATACATTTCAATAAACAACTAACTAGATATTGATCATCCATTGTGTCTCTCTACCAGCCTACCTGCTTAGAACCCAGTGGTGCAATCAATAACATCTACCAGCCTTCTAAAGTGTTTGGAAACTCCTGTTTGAACTCTGATACATACAAGACAGCACTGTCACAAATGGTAGCTCTTGAGGGAATCTACCCTGGGTGCAAGGAATCAGTGCCTTTTACTACCCAGAAAGTTATAAATAGAGAGTGACATCATCTAGCCAATTAGCTGCATAAACTGCTATGGAGAGGTAGAAGAAGAACTATGCTTGGTTTTGGCATGAGGGCTACATGAGCAGAATAATAATAGACGCTAACACTGCTGCTGAGTTAGTTTTGGCATTACTTCTTCATTAGACAGCCAGAAACTGAACAGAGGATTTAAGAAGAGAAAGGGTGTTGCTGCTACAACCACCTCTTCAAAGTAGTTATAGTGGATAGCAATACAGCATAACCAACAGCAACTTCTACTAGTGATTACAGAGTAGAGATATTTGGAATACTGCCACTACCATTCTTCACTTAGGGTATACAATACAGTATACTGACAACAGGCACAGTGACAATCAAACTGTAGAAGCCATTTTTTCTGCACTAGACAAACTCATCAGATATTAAATTAGGAGATTTGTTAAAAGGGTCAGTTTACCAGAGGTCATCCAGTTCTGTGGATGTCTGTACCAACTAACCACCTTGTATAGCTTGCACATAATTTGGCTTCACATGGGTGAAAATAAAATACTGCAGTAACTAGATAAAATTAGATTTATAAAATGGTAGACTAATGGAATAAAGTTAAGGAAAATTTAGGCTGAATATTAGTAAAACAATAAAAATCTATTAGACTGTGGAAAGATCTGCCAAGGAAAGCAGTGAAACCATTTTCACTTGGCACAGTTAGTAGATTATACAAAAGACTAATAAATGTGCAGTAGATAACAATTCTGCATTGGCAAGGATATGAACTACTGGGTTACCTACTCCGTCTTTTCCATAAGTTTAAAATGCAAGCCCATTGCTACCTCTTTACTTCTACCTTGCTTCTTGTTTTCCTAAAACTGAAAAAGGTTTTCCTAAAACTGAAAAAAGAAGTGAGGTTGAATTCATATTTCAACTTCTAGCTGGCATCACAATAATAAACTAAGCTTTTCTGCTGCAGTCTAGAGAGACTGAGATCATATGTATATAAAAGACATGCAAATGCAACTAAAATGTATTAAATTCTCTGCACCTCCACAAAGAAAATCCAGCACATTCTTAACAACTATAGATTCAACTTCTGTAATTCTTCTGTGCTAGAAATATTTAAATTCTATTCTTATATTATTTTTAAACCACCCAATGACATTCAAAATGATCTGCAGAATTTTCACCTTTTGATACAGAAATTAGAAAATGTGGAGTGCACAATGCATGAGATTGTAAGAAAGGAAAATTGGGTGAAATGGCCAAGGTGGCTTACTGCTGTCCTGAAGAAATGGATCCTATCTCTGCTTCTTCCTCAGTTTCTATATGATACAGAGCAAGGATTCTAGAAAGGGTCACTAATGGCATGTTCCTCATTTTTCTGGGTGCTTGAGACATAGTGGTTTGTTTTGTAGAAGTTTTCAGAACTCACTGCTGCAACTGATGATAACAGAAGGGAGGGGGAGGGCATGCTTTAAAAACATACTATAAAAAAATCATAGAAAGCAACAGACAATCCAGGCACCAAAAATTAGTAAAGATTTTGACCTTAGTGTCTGGGAATCAGCTCTAACTATAAAATAGGGATAGCACCCCTTGCTTCACAGGGATTTATGGAGGACATATTCAATCTTTGTGAGGACCTCAGATACCATTATGATGAGCACCATTAAAAGAGAATGATAAAATAATTCTGTCTCTAGAGCAATGCTTGAGGAGTATGTAGTAAATAATGCCTGAGGCAAGGCATTTAACAAGGAAGAAACAATATACTGAAGAACTGCTCATTAAGTGAGCAGAATTTCTCCCTAACACTGATGACGAATGGATCCGTGAAATAAAATAGTATATGATCAGATTAATTATAGAATGTAATTAGTTAATAAATACATACCAGGGAGTGAATTACAGCTGCAAAGGCAATCTTATTTTGATATTTCCTAACTTCTGATATTTGCAAACTTAATGATGTAAGGTTATCTGTTAGGACTGTGCAAAATTTTGATGAGTGTTTCGTTTCGAAGTTGTTTCAACACATTTCAAGCTCAAAACAGCAAAATTGAAATGAAACAAAAGGCTTCGAAATAAAATGAGGGCACTCCAAACATTTTGAAAGTTTCGAAACGTTTTGAG